CTATGTTGAACCAGCCTCTTACTCTTCTCCCAGAACTGCTTTTCTCGGTGCATTGTTTCTTCCAAATGTTTTTGGGGAGTTGACAAGTAATCAGTTGGGCACCACCCAACGAACACCACCCAACTCCTCTCCTGGGAGGAGAAGTGACATCCTGGAACTCTGCATTCCGGTCTCACAAGTGGGAGAGAGTGTGGCTGCCATCCATGGGGGAGAGGTCCTTTTGGATGTGGGGGTGCCTCTTGTTCTGGGACGCCAAGGGGAAGGAAACTCCAGATGGGAAGATTTAAGTCATTCAGGGAGCAGGCGTGTCACGTGCACAGGTCTGGTTTCTTTGACCCAGACATCTAGAATTTTTTGGGCCAAGGATATCTCAGATCCATTTTCAGCGGCATGGGCTAATCTAGCTAAGGGACAGAACAGTCATGTACACAGAAGGGCTCTCTCAAGTGCAGCGAGGGCCACTCCGATCTGCTTCCACGGGCTGGCCTGTGTCGAGCACCCACCGGAAGCTGCCAGCCCGCGGAGGGCCCCTGAAGAGACTCATGTTACACGTTTGCTATTTTGGTCCAACAATGCAGGCCCCTTCCGGTTTTGGGAGCTGGGCTCCTGGCACTCATCAAGTACCCAGCTTCGAGAGGCCTCAGAGAGCCAGGGAACGAGCTTCCAGCTTGAAGGGAGGGAGAAACTCTCCTGGTTTTAAATCCCCAACCAAATGCCAACCATATCTTGTTGTCAGCAGACAGGGGCAAGATCAAGAGGGAGCCATGGAAGAGAATGGGGAGGTGGTAACAAGAGCGAAAATTTATTGCCCTGAAGCTTGCATTCTCCCTGGAGGCAGGTGGCACTGCCCATTGGGTAGGGAGCTCTGCTTCACCTTGTCCCCAGGGAGTGTCCTTGCACGCAGCCAGTTACAAGCTGGGCCAGGGGTTGGAGGCCGTGTCTACGTCTACTTTGGACGGTCAGAATTTGGATCTCATGGTCTGACCTCAACTCGTTTCAGCTCCCGATGCTCTAAATTCCTCCTCCAGGCCAAGAATTGCTCATTCCCCTTTGCACTCCTAGCCCAGGGGCTGGCACAGGGCTCGCAGCCGCCTAGAACCGACAGTGGGCATCAGTCTCATGAAAAGGCCGGAGGCCTTGAGGGCGGAGCCAGCCCTCGGTTGGTTGCCTCAGGAGAACTGTGACAACTGCTTCTATTTACAGGGCACTTACCGCCGTCCAGGTTCAGAGCTGAGTGCCTTACACGGTTCTCTCATTCAACCCCGACACCCCCACCCTGACCCAGGGTAACCTTGCCAGGCCTCACTTGCAGGGAAGGGAACTAGGATGTGGGGAGGTGGATGGACTTGCTTGAACTCACATAGCTAGTGTGCAAGGCAGTAGCCTGGCTCCTGCGCCAGGGCCTTGGCCACCGCGCTCACCATCTCTCTCACCTGTCCTGGGCTCACGGTGTGGCATCCCCAACGGGGCCTCCAAAGCTCCTTGGAGGGGTAACAGGTGGAGTCAATCCCTTTGGAATAACACTTACCTTGGTGTCACTGTGTTTTTCTAGGGACTCTCCTTCCCTAGGAGATGATCACATCGTGGGAATTAAATTTGCGACCAGTGGGCAGTGGAAGGAGCAGGGGCCGACACGCAGGGGAGGAGCTGGGAGGGCCTCCAGGTAGGGAAGGTGGCACTCACAGGCTGTGTGTGGGGTGTGGGGACATAGTGGGTCGGGCAAGTAGATCGTATCCCCCAAATCCACTCTTATTGTGGATCAGAGGCCGCGGGGAAAGTGGGGTTGTAGAGGATTCTGAGGACGCCAGAGAGCCAGGATCAATTAGCAATGTCAGCCAGGAGCGTGGGAGGAAGGAGGCGACCTCCTGCCACATGCTTGTCATCCCTGGCATCAGGTATGCTTAGAGGACAGTAACACGTATTAGCTCTTTTGACCTCCTGACAGATTCCTGATTTGGGGGTGAAGGGGAGGGGAATGCACTGCTATTTATTAATTTCCCTTTTGTGGACGATCTCCTGCTCGCTCGGACTCACCAGGTGCTGATGTCAGCAGGTTTCCCGCATCTTTTCCTCCAGGACCATGAAGGGCCAGAGCCGGGCTGCCAGCCCCGCAGGGGAGGCGGTGGGTGCCGCGGTCACAGGAGGGCCCGGGCAGCGGGGGCGCCTCCGCAGAGCTCCAAGGCCTGAGAAGACCCGCCTGTCCCCTGCATTTCAAACGGGTTCCAGCGGCCACTGCTGGGAGGTGCCCCAATTCTGCCGAGTAAGGCCTATTTCCGACTCTGTTCACCTGTAATGAGTGAGCTGCTCCGGGAAGTATTACCATATTGGACTTGGGGGCTGCCACGTAAGGCAAGAGGACAATCTGAAAGCCAGAGGTTATGACTTTTGATCGAAGCGTTGGCTTTGAAATATTTAAAACTCCCCTGGAACCAACCTGGGTCAGTGCTGTCCTTCACTCTTCTGAGAAAGAGAAAAAGTCAGTCCAGAAGGAAGGAGGCTCTGGGCTGCGTGGCAGGCTGCGAGATCTGGGGGGGCCTTGGGCTCCAGCAGAAGAAGTGCAGGTGGGAGCCCGAGCGCACGCAGGTGCCGGGGCTCAGGGGGGCTACCGGCCCCTGGGGCCTAAGTTCCACAGGGTCCCTCTCCAGCCAGGGCAGGAGCCCCGGCCCACTGGCGGCAGAAGGAGACTTCGCAGGCCCCTGGTTCTTTTCATGTTTCCCGCGGTGTGTCTCCACACGTCGTGAGCGTCATCTGGCCCACCAGCGTGGAAGGCTTCGGAGGTTCTGAACTTGCCCCACATCAAATATGCCCCCTCCTCTGCTCCGGAGAACCCCACCACCACCCTGCCACAGACTCAGAGGGCATTCGATTGTCTAGAACACTTCAAACAGCCCAACTCTCCCTTGTAAAAGTTTTACAAGAAAATCACCGAAGACCAGAAGAGCTCCCCTTCCCCTCTCCTCCTCCTTCAGTCTCAGACCCAAGCCGATATTCTGGATTCCCACACTTTGGTGTCGGCCGTGGGCGAGAGCGTGGGGCTGGCGGGCGGGCGGCGCTGCAGATCGCGGCCCCCGGATCATTACGCTTTCAGGCCACGGCTTGTGGGATCTAGTGATTTGGACATATTTTATTTAACCAGCTTAGTAAAAGGTAATATTCAGCAGCTGTGATCTATAGCAGAATTACAATTTTCAGGGTCAAGGAGGGATTTTGATATTAGGAGGTTGGGCGGAATTGCTATGAAATCTCATGAGCTGTCTTTAAAAATAAATGAGAAAATAGGTTATCCAAGAGTCATTGTAAGGGAAAAATCAATAGGCAGTGTCTATTCACTTGGGTTATCAAAATCCTTGAAATTTGAACAAAAGTTTCACGTTTAGTGTACTGTAGGTTTTGAAATATCAGCGCTGGAGGCTCAGTGGGTACAAATTCATGGCGCTGTGCATCCAAACGAGGCAGGCCTTGCGAAGCCGCTCGGCGGCCTCCTAGGACGGGCGTGTGTCTTGGTGACCGACTAGGATGGCCAAGAGGAGACTCCCGAGGAAAACTGGTCCATGGCAGGTGGCCCCCCTGGAAACACCATGGACCCCCGTGCTGCCAGGAGTAGGTGTGCCCGGGGGCCAGCGCCAGGGCGGGTCCCATGTGTCCTCTCGCCCACACCAGTCCACAGCATCTCTGCCCCCAGGTGGGAACAAATGACAATTTAATAGGGAGCTTCCTGGTGGTGAAATTCTGATTGAGCTGGCCATCTGGACTTATAGAAGTTGCCTTCATTCATTCATTCATTCATTCATTCATTCTTAATCAATAATTGTGTGTGTGTGTGTGTCTCAAATGCGTCTTTCGGCTTTGCGCAGCGACAGGCAGTATCACAGCCAACAAGCTCTCTCAAGGTGCCATCGTTGCTAACTAAAACCTTTTCTCCACTGTCTTCCAGGACGGCCTACCCTTGGCACTGAATAGACTCTCAGCAGCCCAAGCCACGGAGGCTGACCCCTCCTGGAGTCCCACTCTCCAGGCCTCCCCCTGACTCAATCCCTATGGCAGGTAACCGCCAGGTAACTGCTGGGTCTCCCTCACCGGCCTGTGAGCTCTGGCAGGGCAGGCTCTGGGTGGCGGTTCAGTGCTGTTTTCCAGTCCCTGCGGCCATGTCTGACATTCAGTGTTAAAAAATAATTTGACAACGGAGGCACCTGGGCGGCTCAGTGGTTGAATGTCAGCCTTTGGCTCAGGTTGCGATCCCAGGGTCCTGGGATCGAGTCCCACGTCAGGCTCCCTGCAGGAAGCCTGTTTCTCCCTCTGCCTATGTCTCTGCTTCTCTCTGTGTGTCTCTTATGAATAAACAAATCTTAAAAGAAAAATGAAAACATTTTTTTAAATGAAAAAAAGTTTTTTAATGAATGAAGACAATGAATATCTTCCTTTTACTATTATTAATATAAGGCATTCCTAAGGAATTTTAAGGCCATAATCATGAGCAATCTTTAAAGAAAACAAAACAAAAACACCCTAGACTCCCCACTCTCAATGTTTGTCCACCACGATGTTACAGAGCAGCTCATCTTATCAAGATGAGGCGGTTGGTGATGGCTTATCACATGCCGGGTGGTGCTTTCCATGGGTTACCTAATGGAATCTTCAAATCAGTCCTTGGGGTGGGTGGGTATTTCCCCTATTTTACAGTCAAGGAAACAGAGGCTTCGTGAAGAGATGGGTAGATTATTCCAACTCACCAATGAGAGAAGCAGGGCTCACATCCAGATGTGTCGTCACCCTGCAAAGCCATCTCTGGGGCAATTAAAGAAGATGGTGGGCGGGGGAGGGGTATTCAAGAGCAACCTTGAACATGATCCTTTCAAGTTCCATCATTAAAACAAAAAATGACAGGGTCTATATTCACACTACAGAAATTGTAGCAAGTACTGAAGATTTATAACTCCCCTTTATTTAGAAAGGGAATGAAAGTAAGATAAATAATTCAACTGCACAGGGTGGGAATAGCAGATGTTGGATTTAGGCATTTTATTTAACTCATCAAATAATACAAGTTGGTTCAGGAAACAACAATCAACACATATTACTTGTACTAACGATTTGTAGACCCACATTTCCAAGAAATGTAATGAAAATAAATTACTTTGTGGAATACAGCAAATAAATATATATGTATTTTTTAAACAAAAAATAACCCTATGAATAATAGGGGGCGGGGAAGTGAGGTTATGGGGAGGGAGACCTCGCGGAGATTTGGGAAGTTGGATCTTGAAACAAATGCCTGAATGAGATGAAGGAATAGCACGTGTTAATGACAATTAACAACAAACGTTCTAACTCCTTTCCCTGGTCCCCTTGGTTTTAGGAGCAATTTCTCCCCATCCCCGAGACAGGCTCCGAGCACCGCTCCTGACTCCCACCGTCTGCGTGATCCAGATAATGTAATCGCAGCATCATTAGGAACCATGAAATCGCAATTCCCCGGGGAAGGAGCGCTATCGTTCAGTCACGCACGGAAGAGCCATTAATTAGCAGATTTCGGTTTAAAGTGACTATGTACTACACGGGTTCTAATCCCACTCTGGAGCAGCGCTCAGGCCTAATGAATTAGCTGGGGGAAGTTGAGCTGTAGCCGGAAGACACCACTCAAAAGGAAATGAAGTGAAATGAGATAAACTTAAAACTGTAAAATTTGAAAATGATCAAGAGATCATCCACTATTCGGGAAAAGCTGTAGAAGAAGCCAGATGGGGTGGGGTGGGGTGGGGTCATCCAAATTCTCTTCTCTTAAAATGGCACTGTTGAGTATGCTGTTTAATATCCAGACTCCACCTGAGGCTAATTGATCTAAATGGACTCATTCATTCATTCATTCGTTCGTTCATGCCATGCATCCCTCACTTATGTTCTCTTAAAGTAATAGCACTTTTATAGCAGATGACAGGTTGCTACTTTGGACACATTCATCCCCTGGACAGTTGAGTCCTCAGACATCGGGCAAGGCAGGTTGAAAGTTGCACTTGGAACCTCCATGACAGTGGCTTGGGGAATGCTTCTGAAATGGAGACACCCTCTTCCTGGAAGTATGAGTGGAATCAGGATTTTTACCATTCTCGAGAAGATGATCCCTCAAGCCAAACCTGGTTGGCACCTATACTCCTCCGTGCTGGACACTTTGTACTGAGCTCTGCAATTCTGGCCTCACTGTTAATTTAAGGGGTGAATGTAGAGATCAATGACCAGTCTTTGCACGCTGGCCCCAGCCCTTGGGTTGGCTGACATCTTTCCATTTCACAACTTGCTGAGATTCCAGATATAGGGGTTATACTGTCCGTACGCCAGGGAGGAGGGGTGGCTCTTAGACGGGTGCTTCAGTCCCTACGACGCAATACCCAGGGACAATACCTGGAGGACAGACTGACTTGTCCATGGTTAAACCTACAGGAGAGGGGCTGAACTCCTTTTTAAGAAAGCAGGGCCCTGTTCCAAGGCCAAGGGTTGGCACCACACACTGGTTTCTAAACCTAGTTCGTGGGTTTTATCCAAGCGCATCTTCATATTGTGCCCTGAGCAAGGGAGGAGCAAGCGCAGAGTTAATGGTCTGGTTTCCTGATAGGGGAATGGGTGCCCCAGAGGGAAAGTGACTCACCCCGCAAGACCGGCTCCACAATCGGTGAGATCCGAAGCAAAATGAAAATACGGAGCCCCTGAAAATGCTTTTTGCATTTCTTCCCTGGTCTCCGTCTCTTGTCACAGTATTTTAAAATTTCTAGTTCATGTCTTCCAAGTAAAGACAAAACTTTAAATTACTAGCCCGAATTTTACTTTTTATTTTTATACAGCACAATGCCAGGTTTAAAGGCAAATATCAGAATATTTACGTGTGTTGAATCACCAGTTACACAACATATTTTTGGCTTGTTTCAAGAAAGTGCCTCAACCTGGCCAGAAGAGACAAGCTGGGAAGTTGGAAGAAGGAAGAGAGGGTTCCCCCAGGCACAGGGGTGCTCTCAGGGGGAGGCCAGCCCCTCAGGGTGCTGGTCCCTGCCTTGTGACTTGGGCATGCACTCACCCTCGAGCCTGGTAGTCAGGCTCCCTTCCTTCCCAGTGGCTGGACGGACAGTTGTGCTGCAGGCCTGGGTCAGGACGTCAAGAGAGGCATCTCCCTCTTCTGCGGGGTCCCTGCTCCAATCCTCAGCAGATGGGCAACCCTTGGGGGTGAGTCCCCCACCAAATGTGCCCCGGATGCTGCCAGCAGAGGGCAGGGACTGCGGCTACCACACCCCACCCCAAGATGCTGTGGGCTGCACGTGTCCAGACCTTGACCCTTCCCATGCCTGAGCCCAGGCTGGGGGCAGGTTGGTAGCACCTGCTGTGTGGAGGTTGGAATGGAAAGGCCGAGTGGAACGGAGACTCTGGGGAGCTGAGAATCAGACCCCAGAAGCAGGGAGGTGGTGGGAGGCAGGACTGCATGGCCAAGGCTCCAAGCTCCCTGTTCATACTCCACTGTCTCACTGGACTTCATTTACAAAATGCAATTATAAAGGTAACATTATCATGAGTTTCAAGACAGCGACTGTACAGCATTGAACCCCAGTGTGGGGCCCTTCTGAATGTGGGGTCACATGTGTGACTGCACTGGTCACAAGCCCGTGCCACCAGTCCTGCCTCCAAGACCGCTCAGAAGCTCAGCACACCCAATCTCCTGCTCTTCTAGGCGGTTCTCCATGCCAGGGGCTGCCAGCTTACCCCAGGGCCTTTGGCCCTTGCGCTGTTAGGAACATTCCCTTTTCACTGGCGTGAATGACTGGAGGCTGGAGTTGGCAGATGCCTACCTTCCTGAGACTTTCCAACCAACTTTCCCATCTGCCCGGAGAGGAACTGAAGCCCCGAGCAGGCTGTGACTCGTTACCGTGAGGCCACTTGTCAGGTTGGTGGTCTAGGGCTCTGTGCACCTCGTGCCTGGAAGGTGCCAGAACTTGGGAAAAGAGCAAAGCCTCGTGGGGCCTCCCCGCTTGGCTCTTCCTGGGTGGGAACACACCGCCGCCACAGCCACCAGAGGCTGGAGCATTCTAGGGCCTCCCCAGCTCTGAAGCAGCATCGCCTGAGCATCATGGGCAGCTGAGGTGTTTGCCCGAGACCTCTGTAGGCTCAGGGTCGGGGCAGCGGGACTCCAATTCTTACTTAGTTGTTTCTCACAAGATTCTGTTGCTAGTGGATGTGAGTAAAAATGCCTCTCCCAGGGGACGTTCGTAGCTCAGCCGACGGGACACCCAGGGTGTCCTCTTCCAGTTCCTCAAGAGAGAAAAGATCTGACATTTAGGGAAAAAATGATCACAGCCAACAGGGAGGGAACCGAGGCTTTCTGTGCATGCTGCTTTAAAAAGCATGTAATGGAGGAATGTTAGCCCCGTGGTGTGAAGGCCACCGCTACCAAAGAGGCCCCGTGGCTGGGCCGTGGCTTCCAGAATGTGGTGCTGTTTGAGCTACACCTTGAGCGGAGGAGGGAAGCTCAAGCAGAGGCTGCAGACCTGGAGTCCACGCCTGGACCCACCACCCATTTGTAGGGCGGTCTCCAGCAAAGATTCGTTCCCTCTCTGAACCCCATCTCCCATCTGAGCCAGTGGGTGGGCCAAAGGGTCCCTAGAGCCTGCACACCTAGAGGGTTCTGGGAACCTGAGCCCATCCACCTGGTTGGCTTTTGCCATCCAAACCGGTGGCCAGCATGGAACTCAAGGGACGTGGGTCCCACATTTCCTCATTTCAAATCCCCCTCCCCCGGCTCTCCGTCCCCTGTGGGGAGCTCAGGGAGGCCCATCCAGGGGCCAGGACCCCGTGGCAGCCTTTGCCCAGGCTCCTCCTATCTCCAGATCAAAGTTTCTCCACTGTCTGGGGGCTGGTGGTGGGGGAGGGTGACCCATCAGCCTCGTGCCCCAATCTGGATTCTGCTTCTATTTTCCCCTTTCTGCATGGGGGACAGAGAGAGAAGAAGGAGAGAGAAGCCTTTGAAAAATGTCTCCTGCTCCATCGCTCAGCAATTCACCTCGCCGCCGAGCCCACTGACACTCCCGTGGTGCGCCTCTTAGCCACTCGGCAACTTTTTTCCCTTTTATGATATTTTGGGTTTCTGATTGCCTGCCAAGTCGAACCTTTATCATTTAATAAGCAGAAAAAAGAAAGAAAGAAAAAAGAAAAAGGGGGGAAAAAAAAGCCCTCCAAGTCAGTCCCAATCTAAAGGGTCCCCTTTCCTGTCCCCTGCCTCTCGGGGGCAGGTCCTAGATACGGAGCCAGTGCTCATGGGGACTCAACCACTTGCAGGCAAATGTCAATGCCACGCTACTCCAGTGGGGCCACTTTGCACACGTTGTGGTGGAAACTGCAAGGAGGAACGAACACACAGCACTGGAGGGCTTTGCAAGGATTCGTGGAGGTGGGGCGTCCGGGGCAGCGCCGGGAGGTGGCAGAGGCGTGGGCAGCGCAGCTTGATCCCCAGCCCCTGAGAGTGACCTGCCTGAGAGCAGTTAGCAGTCAGGGCTCTGGGAACCAAGACAGCTTTCCCGCCTGCAGCCCCCAGGGCGATGGGACTGTCCTACTTGTTTTCTTACCTAGCGCATCTTTGGGGCCTGGAACACGATGGGCAGGGCAGCCTGTAAGTATTTTTTGAGTAGACGAATAAATCTGACTACACCTCTTGTACTTCAAACAGGGAAAGGCTTGTTTAGAAGTCTTGTCGGGAACACGGATGAGCCCACGAAGCCCCGAGCTCTCCTCGCTCTGAGGTTTCTTGGCAGGGGAGAGGGGGATGTGGATGAACAGGAGATACAAATCAGGCAGAGACAGTCTCCAGAGTCACATTGTCCCTGCTGTGCTGAGGCGCTGGATGGGGCAGCACGGGGAGGGGCTGCTGGGGCATAAACAATCAGTTTTGGGCTCTTCCCCAAATGCCTTAGCCTCATCACCTCAGCAGGGCTGGGGGGGGGGGTAGGCTGGAACAGCTCCCCAAGGAAAGCAGTTGGCTGGAACCCACTGTCTACTGTTCTAACTACCCCTCCACCCTCCGCCTTCCTGCCCTCTCTCCTTCTCCTCCTTGGCAAGGGCACTGCTGTGGGATGTGCCAGGGGAACCCCACCCAGTTATCCTGCCTTGGCAGAGCCCATGTGTCCTCTGACCTGAGTGCTTGTGGGCCCCGGGCCAGGGTGTGTGTGTGCTTCTATGGCAAGGCTGTGCCCCCCATAACCCATTCGTGACCCAAAAGGGCAGCTGGTTCTGGAAGACACCACCAAGGAGCTGGTCCCAGGCAACAAAGGTCTCCTTTCCTTCTATCCCTTCTCCCAAAGACTACTAAGCTGCTCCTTGCCATGGTAGATCTTTCTTCCCCAAAATCCAATTCTGCCCTCAGGAAACAGTCAGACAGACAGTTCATCCGAGGGATCAGTGGTTCATGGGATTGAAGCCGACCAAGAGGAAAAAGAATCTGCATTTCTTCCAGGGCTCAGGGGCAGAAACCAAAGGAGTGGGCCGTTAAAGGTGGGATTTCAGGTCTCCACCGGCTCACAGGGTGTTACTGTGCAGAGACCTGGCTCATCTTTCAAGTGTACAAAGCTCAGTGGGCCAAGGCCTGGGCCACCTCCTGTGTCCAGAAGAGATGGGAACAAGGAAGGGGAGAGTGTGTTTGGAGCTTCATAGTGGGGGGCTGGTGGGCTTCAGGCCCCGTGCACTTAGCAACCTATAGCTGATGCTTCTCTCTGAATTTGACAACAACCCCATTCCCCAAAGATGGGATGGATTCTGGCCACATTCTCGGCTCCTCTCTCTTCTGATGGTGTTAAGACAGAAAATTAACAGGACCACGCAGGACGGCATGCCAAGGTGCTTAGCCTGATGCTGGGCATGCAGTAGGCCTCTGTGTCAGCTGAGCGTGCCTCTGTGGCCTGGCTCTTTGGCAGAACCTTCTGGAGAGAAGCTAGAGCCTGAGGATGTATTTCATTCTCAACTCTGTGGGGCCTCATGCAAAAAAACATTTCTCTCCAACTCAGGTACTTTTCTTGGCAAAAGAAGTTAAAAACAAAAAAGTTGAGGCAACGAAGCAGCCCTGAGCTGGAGATGGGCCCTGCTCCCCCCATTACTGTCCCCTCCTGAGCACACCTGCGGGGGGAGAAGGTGGGGGCTGCACTGAACGATGCTGTCCTGCCCCCAGGAAAAGTCCAGGCAGCTCTCAGTGGAGCCGTGTGTGCAGTGGATCAATATGGGCTTCGGGGCCGCTGAGCTATTATTCACGCCAAAGGGCCTTGTTTGGATGAAGGGAAGGGGGGTGCACGAGTTCACAGAATCACAGTCTAGAGCTCTGCTGCTTGGCACTTCCCCCTCTCTCTGTGATGCCTTCGTTATTTATGTAGCACGAGTAATGAGGTGATTCAGGATGAGGAAGTGCTTTTCCCACAGCATGCTGGGAGCTCCTTGAGGCATGACAACAGGGCTTGTGTGTGATTTGGGCCAGGGTCCTGGGAGATACGCACCCTGTCTTTCCAGTCCTATGGCTCCTCCTGAAGGGGACCAATAATGGGCCGAGGGTGGCATATAGTGGGTCCTAACATCCGGGCCCTTCCTTCTTGACTATCTCCTGGGACGAGTCCCACTAACCACTTCCTGTCCCCTGGTGCTGGGAATCCATCCTTAACCCCTCCACCATCTGCTCCTCACCTCCTCACACATTCCCAACCCACCTGTCCAGTCAGTTTGGGTTTGTCCCACCATCTTGTTTTTGCCCTACTTGCCTCTGGTAAGGGGGCTTTGGAACATTCACCTAATTACTGACCTAGAATCCTAACGAACATGGGCAGCTTCTCTCCTCACTCCTTGTATCTTCCCTCCTGTACACAGTAGAGGGTGCTGACCCTGCTTCCATCACCTACTTCAGGACCCTGTACCCAGCCTTGGCTCCAATCACACACACTACCCTCCTGCCTGCGCCTGGCCGCTCGTGTTTATCTTATAATGTCTCCCTTCTTGGGTGACAGTGCCCGTGGCTTTCAGAATTTCTCTGAGCTGTCCACATAGTCACCTGCCCCATTTTTAAAAGGCTGACACCTTGAGAGCTACCTGACCTGTCACAAAATGGGGATGCCCCCTGGCAGGCACTACTGGTTTGAGCCCAACGGGCTGCAGGCAAAGCCACATAAGCAAGGTTTCCTGGAGTTTAGTTTAAGGTTAGTGAATTAGAGCATAGGACGAGGTCAAGTCTGATGGTTGGCGGCTCACCTCAGGCAACCAGTGTCTCTGGGAGTCAGACTGGGGATGGCTTTCCACAAAGTCTTCCTTCCTTTTGGAAAAATGACTCTGAGCATATCTCTTGCTGAGGTGCGGAGTCCCTTCCAAAGGTGGCAAGTTGTCACCTTTGTGGCTAATTTGGAACACACTGAAATGGAGGCTTGAGAGCCCCCAAGACCCTGGTGTGTGTGCCATTCCTATGAAGCTTAGGGCAGGCCTCGCTCGGCTCACACCTGCTTGATCCACCCCTCCTGTGCCACAGCTTCTGCTGGACCGTCTGTCCTTGGGTGGGTGATGCTGAGAGATGGTGGCTGAGCAAGGGACATGCGCCATCTCTCCCCTCCACATCCATGGAGTGGCTGTCCAAGGGGCCTATCTTTCTGGGGCTGGGTGGATGGGAGTAAAGCAGGTTGGCAGAAAAGTACTCCTCGTTCTCCGGTATTGGCCAGAACACCCCAGCCCTGAGGTACCAATGAACCAGGCCTCTGAGAACGGCTTCCACAGCTCTGTGAAACTCATCGAATCAAACAGGGTGACCAGGTGCAGCCAGCTCTTCCGGCATGGACACCACCACTGACTTCCCACCTGGGATGCTGCTGATGACAACGACAGTGATGATGATGATGTTGGAGCTTTTCCCCTCAAGCCCAGAGCCCATGGAAAAGCTGATGGTTTCACCAATGGCAAGTCACAGGAAGGAAAAAAGACACGAGGTCAAGCCCAGCAAGGCACCGGTCCTATTGTCTACTAGGGAAGCACTGTTCGCAATGAGCTCGCCGACCACACAGAGATGCCCCATCACACCCTCCCCACACCAGCCGCCTGGACACACAAGTATTCCCTTAAGAAATCCCTACTTACTCTCCAGACCACAGTCCTCCAACCACACACTCAGCAGACGGAGGAGACAAGTGGGCCAGAGACAGGGGGCTCACAGAGGTTCCTTTGAAACCAGTCCCAGCCACAACCAACCAACAGTCCTTGGCTCTGGATGTGCGTTTCTCCCAGGAAAGCCACCTCCACTCCCGGGGACCGAGTGCCCCACCAGGCTAGCAGTTCAAACCAACGCGACGAGGAAATCATTGCTCGGAGTTAATTCTCAACTACGTAGACAAACGGCTATAAATATTTATGACGGGAAATTTCATTATTTAAAAATTCGGCTCTAAATTTCCGGCGAACTCCATGAAGAATGCCTGCTGAACAGGTTGCAAATTAAGAACAATTATTTTTCTCCTCTGCATTTGAATAGAACTTACAGCTAAAGTCATTTAAAGGGGTTAACATCAACCTTAATTAAATATTAAAGTGTGCCTGTACCTGCCGCTATTGTTGCCCCTTCGAATAAGATATAACCTATTTTTGACAAGTTTTCATCTTTCTCTGTGGAAGACGCTACATGAAATCAAATCAGTGGCAAAGAGGAGAGTAATGAATAATCTATTTCATATTCCAACAGTACCCAGAGCTCGGGAGCGGAAAAATATTCAGGCGGATGATGGCAAGAGGCTGCTTGGGTACCACCTGACCCAGCTGATGTTTAAATAATAATAATAATAATAAAGAGCGATAAACAAACCATTAGCCCTTCGCAGTTGCTTAATGCAATTTGTTAATGAACGTAACGGTGGGGACGAATAATGAAAGAAAATAAAAACGTCTAAACAGGCGCCAAGTTGCTGGCGATGCGCAATTATTTCCTTGTCAAGTTTTTATGATTTAATGAGCCCCTCTGGGACTGACGCCTGTCAGTCAGTCGTGACTTTTTGACACCATTACAACTTCAAATACAGCAGCAGGCAGGCTGTTTTCCTCGGATTTGAAATACTGAAATGATCTGACAGTTTTAAAGAAAAGAGGTGCAAAAAAAAAAAAAAAAAAAAAGGAGAGAGGGAGAGAAAGACAGTTGCTTTCCTTTCTTTCTTTTCCACCCCCGTCCCTTCTTCTACGGGGTGGATAATCTCGGGATGCTGTTTGGTAATGAAAATCCAATCACCGAGGTCATTATCTGATGAGGTTTTGGGAACAGGCAGGCTTTTTTTTCCCCCCCTCTTTATTTCTTTACTTAATGATAACCCTCAATGGGCCTGCCCCGCATGGGACGGCCAGAGCCGCACAATTTTGTTCACCATTAATTTCAGCCTTTGAAGCTCAGGGCTCAGAAGCAGTAGCAAAGCAAACCCCCCACCAAGCTGGTTCCAAAATAAGACAATCCAGCCTGCCTTAAACAGAATAGCAAATGGCCTCCCAGCCCAGGCCTGGCGGCTGACGTCAAGCCCAGTGCATCTGCAGGCATTCGCCTTCAACACGGAACATTTAAAACTCTTTACAACTTAAGAGACTTTAATTAAATTGCTTTTGATTCCGGAGCAGGATAGCAGCCGCTTTTATTTATTCGGTCAGGGAGACTGTTTAGTCTGCATGAATTTTATATGGCCAAGGCTTCCTCCTCCTCTTCTTCCTCCGTGTCTTCGTCTTCACCCCCTCCCCACCCCATCTTCCCGTGGAACATCCTTTTTAGCACAGGTGCCCAGCTGTAGAAATATTCATTGATCAAAGTCTACATGCTAAGTTCCTAGAACCTTTCAGGGATCTAGGACCTGCTTCGCATTGGTGGGCTTCGTCCCTTCCCTGGTGGAGCAGGGAATGGGGGAGAAAAATGTGCCTCTTCTACTGGGTTTCCTTTGCATTTCTCCTCCGCCATCCATCCGCCAGGGCCAGGCAGGAGTTCGGGGGACTTCAGATCAGCTTCTTACAAAGCGCTCACTATTCGGGTCTTGGGGGGCGGGTGGTCACTCTCAAGGTGGGTTTGATGGGGCTGTTAGGCCAAGGGTTATCTATCTGTTCAGCTTCTCTCACTCTCGAGGTTGAATTGGGGCAAAATCTCAGGTAAGAGCCTGATAAAGAGATAGAACTGGAAAGAAAAAGCCATCGAGAGGTGAGCAGTGCACTCCCTCCCCATTTCATCTACTTCAACATGAACACAAGGTTTTAGTGAAATATTTAGGAGCCAGCGGGTTTGAATGATCAGATCAACCTGGCTTGCTGGGTGGCCTTGGGAAGAGGCGTGAGGTGTAGGCAGAGAGCTGGTTATACACTTTAGCTAAGATCAACAGTTTCAAAAGAAGCCACCGGAGAGGCTGGTGTAATACTTCCCTGCCATTAGTGTTTCGGAACAAGAAGGAGGTTGTTTGTTTGTTTCCTCCTTTTTAATGGTTTCTCCTATGTGTTCAGCATGTACAGAATTCCGTTCTTGGAATAAAAGAATCTTGCTGAGATAGATCCCTTAAGCTGATAGGAAAATGAGCACTGCCTTCCCAACTCCTTCACTGTCCTGCTCTGCTCTGCCAAAATCCCCGTACCATCCCTGCGAGGTAAAGGCTGCAGCTTTATTTACACAATACTAAATGATTTATCTGGACACATGCAGGCCCTGGCCTGTTTCGCTAAGTACGATTTCTCTGGTGGATTTTGCCATTCTGCATTTCCTCTCTAAGCCATAATGGTTCTTTTCTGAGTTGGGGGAAAAAAAATAATAAAGTGCTGCATCCAGGTGATCTCAGTCTACGGGCACAGGTGGTTAGCATTTTTTATGAAGGGAACAGGTTTGCTTTTCAGGGATTCGAAGCTTCCAATTATATTCAAAAGACGGTACGGACCTTGTAAGTGCCTACGAAGTCTTAAGAAAAACACATTTTGCTTTCTGACTAGGGGGAAAATGACCTCAGCTTGGGGCAGCTTTAAGCCTGATCATAAACGAACTCATTTTGAACGCAATTCCCCGTTACCTCGGACAGAAAGAAACCAAAGGAAATCACAAAGCACGTCAGAGGTTTGAATGCACAGTGAACTCAGGAAGGCTGTGCTAACATTTTTTTTTCTGTAGAAAATCCAAGCCGTCCTTTGTAACACGCTGCAACCCCTTGTTCTTTTAAAGGAGGTTAGTGAACATTTTCCATAAAGTTTATTTCTAGTGGATCATCCTATAGGATTCTACCATATTTATAACCACATTTGAAATTTCACACTGATGGACTCGTGTTCTTGCTCTTCCTGAAATATTCATGTTCTCTTTACATACTGGGAGGGATGTGGAGAGAACCTTGTCAGACCTTTTGCATGTATGAGGGCTGCTTTTGGCAGTGCAGATATTAAAACCGAAAGGATACAGAGATGCTTACACAGGTCAGGGGAGAGGAGGTCACAATTAAATATCGTGCCAGGGCTCACTTTGCCAGCAAATTCTGGGGACTAGGGGATTTGGGGAAGGTAAGGAAATATTTCATGTAGCCAGTAATCAAAGTTGTGAAAAGTGGATCTTGGGCAGGCTCAGCAAAAATATTCATGGCTGTAAAAAAAAAAAAATTTATGCACAGAAAAACAGAGAAAGTGCTAAGTCAATTTCCTGCACAACTGACATTAAATATCCACCTTTTCAATGAAAGCACTCAGGCAGGTAGACTATATTCATTATGCCGGGGTAGGAACAGGGCTGGTTTGCTGGAGCCGGTCACTGGCTCTGGCTCCTGTTTTTCTCTGCATTTTTATCCTTGGACATCACAGAAGGGCAATTTGGTGACAAGAGATGTGTGACAAACAGCACAGACCATCAGATGCCCCACAGCTGACTCATCATGCCCTATCCCAAACCATGACCCTTGACATGTCCACAGGGCAAGCAAGAATGTCACCAAGGCTATTTTGGTTAGTAGATGAAATCACCAAAAGGCAAATAAACATTCACCTTCCCTTATAAAAAAAACAAATCTGGGTGAAGACAAACCTAGGAAAGGAAACCGACCCACATGCAAACAGGAATAGAAAATATTTTTACACTCTTTGCACTTCAGCTGAACAGTGGTGAAAAGAGGGAGGGTCATTCAGGGCCTGTCAGCGCAAAAGAATGATTCATGTGACCATTTTGTCTTAATTACTCAGAACAAGCCGATGTTGCTGTTTATCAGGGAGGAGCAGATCCATCAGTATCTTCTGACAGAAAAAGTGATCGCCATCAGGATGGTGATGACCAGGATGATGGCCAAGATGACGACCAGGATGCGGTTCTGGATGATTCTAGGAAAGAGCAAAGGAAAAATAAAATTCACACAGATAAACGAAGGGTTTTCTGACAAAGGCCACTGAAGACCAAGTTGGCTAATCAAATGATGGCTTCACAGGTGGGGGTAGGGAGCCCAGTGTGGGGCTCGTGTGTGCATGTGTGTTTTGCGCGCGCACACACACACACACACACACACACACACACTCGCGTGTGAGCTTTTGGCTCTACAAACGATTCACGAACGACTCCACAGTGCCTGTCACACGGCACCCGGAGAAATGCTTACTGCAAAGCTAAAGCAAATCAAATGGCTTTCCGGGCTCGGGGTACCATGTAGTAATCTTTAAGCGATCAAGGGCCCCATGTGAGCTTCTCTTTTTAATTTAAAATGTGAGACAAGCCTCATTTTTTTGCGGTGTTTCCTGTTAAAGTAAAAGACTCCAAGGAAACATATGTCAGTAAGGTACTTACCTGTACAAAAATACCCGGGGAAAAGTGAAAGAGAGATTTAGGAAGAAAAGGACAGGATTAAGAAGCAAGTGTCAACCTTGCAGCTCAGGCTGTGAAACCGTCATCTGTCACCGGGGCTCACTGCTCTGTTACGCCAGGAGGAAACGTTACATTTGCTCCGTAACAAAAAGAGATGGAAATGAGGAATTGCACCAAGAACCTGAATGCCTCATATGCTTGGGTTGGTGGGCCCTCACTCTGGGGATCCCAGCCCCCCTCAGTTCTGGCTCTGCCAAATGCTGCTGGGGAACCGGGGAATCAGGAGGAGAACCGGACTGGAGACTTGCCTCTGAGATGCCTGCAGAGTTTCTGATGAAGTTGCCTCCTAAGGTGTTAGCTCATTCTGAGAAAAGAGACTGACCCCCAGAATGCTTTGTTGAGCTAGTCCAAGGGAACCCAAGTGAAGTGGCCTTGCCCACACTCCTCCCGCAGAACCAACCATATGGTGATGGAAGGGCTGGTCTGGCCAGCTGTCCAGGTGCCTCACACCCCACAGCAAACCCCATCCGCCTGTCCTGCAAATAGCGAGGAGGAAAAGGTCTGCTGTCTTAGCCTCACAGGGACCCTGCCCTGTTTTGTATCTCTGCAAAGAAATCTCTGCAGGGTGTTGGCAGATTTTTCTAGCTTCTGGATGAGTTGCTTTCTCGGAAGGAAGGCGACATCCTTGTGGCTTCAGCTGGAATCCTCCTCGCCCACCCCCTTCTTCTCCAAACCTAAATGGATGGATGGAGACGGTCGCATCAGACAAGCCCACTCCCTGGTGGCCCCCTGGAAGGACTAGCTCCCTCTCCTCCTGACAGGTTACAAAATGATCACATTTGCTGACACGTCTTCCGCAAAACTGCTTTAGTGCCTGTGTCCACTTTCCTCGAAGGAGATGAATGATTCGCTCGGTCCTCATTTATCACGTAGGGCTCAGCTAAGATCTGTCTCCTTTATTTCTTCCCTTCCCCACTAGAAAGGCTGTGCCCTGACATTAATTCTTCTGCAATGACAGCTAATTCAGACTTAACAGGCCATATTTACTCAGGAGGCAGGGAGAGTCTCTGTCCCCAAAATAAATAAATAAAAACAGGACTTCATGGCTTGTTAAAGTGAGGCTAATTATGAACACTGATCGGTGCTACTTGGTGGCTTGATTTAAAACCCAAATTGATTTTTTTCCCCTTTACTCTGGAAGGGGCAGAAGTCTTCAGAACAGTCTCGACACGTCCTGTTTGCCCAAGTCACTGTCACAATCTCTATTTACCACAGTCATCCACGTCAGCCTTGCAAAGGAAATCAGCCAAATTGAAACTCAGCAGTGAAACAGATTAAAAGCATGAAAACTCTTTAAAATTCTGCCTTAAGTAATATACGGTAGTGTGTTTCTTGGTTGACAACCATTTTATTTGTGGGTTGAGGGCCCCAAGGCATCTGTGATGCTAATTTATAAGGGATTAACTGTGGGTGTTACTTGTTTAATCTGAAGCATGGTTAGAAAAATGAATACACAGGAATCCCTAAATCCTCAGCTCTTTCCTGGTCTTCCTAATTGGGCTTCCCTCATCTCAAGGCAAAGAGGGGTACGGTTCACCCAAGATCATTCTTAACAGGTTCTATCTTTAATTCGCTCAGCACACAACCGATCCCAGGACGGCCTGACCTCTCCGCTGGGTCACAGACACTCAGGAAGACTGCAGTGTCCACGCCCTCCTTGGTGTGTCCAGAGCCCAGAGCCTTCTCCTCTGCAGCCCCAGCATATGGCACAGTTGCTGGCACCCAGCACTTGGAGGAGACCTATCCAAAGGATCATAATGAAAGAATGCAGCTCCTGTAATTGTAATCCTTCCATTCAACGGTGAATGGAGAAGACATCTGTGCAAACTCAGTTTGCAGGAAAATCTCAGCGAGTCTGTGTAGATAAGGCTGAAGTTCAAAGTTGAAGTAAACCCCGTAAAGATGGAACTTAATGCCATACGCCTTCTCAGAGCACTACTGGGTCTTCCCCCTGAAGGTAAGAGAAGGAATGGTCCTCATGGCAATGAAAGAGGTGGGCAGGAGAGAGTACTTGCTTTCAAACCGAGGGCTGGCAGATATTTAGGACAGAGGGTACAGAAGGGCAAAAACAAAAAAAGAAAAAGAAAAAGAATAAAATTAAAATTACAAAGAACTGGAGCAGGGATTAGAAGTAAGCTTGACTCAGGCCAGCAACCCAGCTTTGGACCTCAAAGGTGTTAGGTTGATATGTACCTCTAAGGACCAGAAAAGGGAGCTGCTGGGGCCCTTGAATGGGTAGGAACAGGCCAGCCTGGAGCAGGGGAAACAGGCTGGCATTGGTGGGCCCCATCTGTGAGGGAACCTGGAGGACAGTCGCGGCCACGGGCTGCTGGCAGGTATTGCTGTAGGCAAAGCAGAAAGGAATGCAGAGTTCGCAGAGAATCAGGAAACGAAGCCAGGAGAGGGGTTCCCAGCTAGTGAGCCAGAGAAGGAACTTTGGGGAAGCCCAAAGTAACTTCTTTCTAACTTTGGGCAAAGGGGACTTTACGTTCCACTAGGTCTACGGCAAGCTGTCTTAATCTCCCTTTTGAAAATGCAAAGTGTGTTTACTCAGTAAATAATTTAAGAAAGAATATACACTTGAAAGAAGACATCCATTGAAACAGCCAGGCTAAATTGCCTCCGGGCAAAAACTTGTGCATTTGCATGCTGCATTCTATTAAGTGAGCACACTGTGGCTTTAAAAGAATGCAGAGCCAAATTAAAAGGAATGTGGGCCCGAAACATCAAGGATTCTCCAAGTTTACATTATGAATCACAGTGCTGTTGATACAAGATGAATTAACCATTTACTTTGAGGCTGAACTCACAAAGTACTATTGAAAATACTGATCCCCGCGTGGAACCCTGGGAGCGGCTAATCTTTCCATTGCCAGTCTCCTCCCCCTCTGGAAACAAGCTCCTGCGTGTGGCAGCGGAATCAGAGGAGCCTGGTCAGGCAGGTGGGGCACCTGGCCGGGCTCTCCCTCCTGCTTGAGGAGCCCAGGAATTCCACGTCGCAGGAGGCGTCACCAGCACCCGCCAGCACCCGGGTGGCCTCTACTTCTAGGCACGACCCGCCCTCACCTGTCCCTTGATGTTAGGCGTGGCAATGTGACTTGGTGTTGGTCAATGAAATGTGAGCAAGGGGCCCTGGTTGCCACTTCCGTGCCAGGTGGAGGCACCTGACTTCCAGTGTCGGACTCTCCGGTTGGTTCTTCCCCTGCTGTTCTGATTCAGGAGGCTGGGTGTTCCAGGGGTGCAGTTACAGGACAGGGGAGACTGCATCTGCCTGGATCCCTGAGTCACTGCATGGAGCATCACTGCCCTGGACACTCCCCTGGACTCACAGCAGACTCGTAGTAAGGCAGTGAAACATGGCTTTAATGAGGTGAGACGCAGGCATGTGCCTCAAGCCAGTCCAACAATCCCAGAAGCTTTGCCGTGAACGCTGAGTCACCTGGATCCTGTGGTGTGTGGGTGTCAGTTCTGGATCTGCTGCAGCCATTTTGTTTCCATGAGGAAGCCAGACTAACGAAGCAGCTGACCCACGGAGGACGGCGCAGTCAAAGGAGCGGCAGAGAGATGGAACCCGGGCCTGAAAACACGGTGAACCTCTCTATCAAACCGCCCTTCCTCTAGACTTTGAGTTATATGAGAAACTAAATTAACTGAATTTTTCGAGTCTTTTTGAGTTAGGCCTTCTGTTATTTGAGACCTAAAAGCCTTTTTAGGTTGATATACCCTAATTCCCAAACCAAGTCCTTGATCTAAAGCATATTTCCCCCTTCTTCTAAGAAGAATTTCCTGACCATGCTCTCATTCTTGTACTTCCCCTTGCATCCCTTATCACACGGTTTTATGATTCTGTTTCTCTGCAGGTTTCTCCAATAAAAAGTAGACCTTCTAGGGTTTGACGCTCCGTTGTCTTTTGTATTCCTAGTGTCTAAAGCAGAGGTTGGCATGGATGTTGTCAAAAAATGCCTGCTGAATGCATGAACGAGAGACTCTAGCTACATAAGCTCCCCCGAAGGTTCATGCAGTCTGCTTCCTGCTTTCCAAGGGCTGCTTGTAGACAAGCACAGCCTTAGGAGTTAGCTGTTAGCCACCCTCCCATTAAGGATGCCAGCAGTGTCCCAACGCTTTTACAAGCCTGCATTCATTAGCCGGAGAGTGCACGACACTCCGTAGGTTCACTGCCCCGTCCTGCACATGCTTTCCTGCCTGGCCAGCCAGGCCTGAATAATGATGCCCCACCTCTGGGATCTGACCGAACAGTAACAACTGGTGGAACAATTAGCAATCATGAGAGCATGGGGTAAACTGTGCAAAGGAGTCCATATCTGAGCCTCTCTGGGAAGTTCGCAAAAACATGGGCCAAGGGAAAGGCTCGCCAAGTTCTAGCTCAACTTTGATGTTAGTATTCACCAGAAAGAAATGAAAAAAGGAATAGGGGGAAATGGTTCAGTGCCATCAGCCTCTAACA